CTACTATATGACCCAGCTGTCCTATTTTCTGGGAATTTACCCAAACAACATGAAATCAGCATATAAGAGAGTGATCTGTACCCCCATGTTTATTGCAGCTCAATTCACAATAGCGAAAATATGGAATCTGCCAGCACTGCGGCTCACTAGGCTAATCCTCCACCTGCGGCTCTGGCACCCCGGGTTCTAGTCCCGGTTACTCCTCTTCCAGTCCAGCTCTCTGCTGTGGCCCAGGAAGGCAGTGGAGGATGGCCCAAGTGCTTGGGCCCTGCAACCACACGGGAGACCAGGAGGAAGCACCTGGCTCCTGGCTTCGGATTTGCGCAGCACCAGCCGTAGCGGCCATTTAGGGCATGAACCAACGGAAGGAAGACCTTTCTCTCTGTCTCTCTCTCTCATTGTCTAACTCTGCCTGTCAAAATAAATAAATAAATAATACAAAAAAAGAAAATATGGAATCAATCCAAATGTCCATCAACTGATGATTGGATAACGAAATTATGATATATACACCATGGACTACCACTCAGTGGTTAAAAAAAATGAAATCCTGTCTTTTGCAACAAAATGGATACCACTGGAAATGATTATACTTAGTGAAACAAGCCAGTCCCAAAAAGGCAAATACCCTATGTTTTCCTTGATCTGTGGTAATAAAGTACCTAAAATGTAATGTATAGGAGTGAAATAGACATTCTGAAATTTGATGGCTGTTGATAGCTCATGTCTCCACTGTTGAAGAACAGGGTTTTCTTTCTTCATACTATTTATTGAATTCTTTATAGGGTTAATTTTATGAATATAAAGTAAACTGGAAATAGATCTTATAAAAATTAAGACCGAGAATAGGAGGAGGAGGAAGGATGGGAGCATGGGCAGGAGGGAGGTTAGATAGGGAAGTATCACTATGTTCCTGAATCTGTATATGCGAAATACAAGAAATTTGTATACCTTAAATTAAAAAGAACGTTATATATAATGTTGTATGAATGTTTCAATGATGTCATAAAAATGAATATGATTTTTCCATTCAAAAAAAATGAATTTTGGATATTGTCAAAGGCTTTTTCTGTATCAGTTGGGATAATCATGACTTTTTCATTTTTAATTATGAATGTGTATTACACTGACTCATTTTCAAATGTTAAACCACTTTTATATTCTTAGAATAAACACCAACTGGTTATGATGCTCAAATTATCAACTTCAAGTATTACTGGAGTTTGTGAAAATTTGTTGAGAATGTTCGCATCTATGTTCACAAGGGATCTTGGTCTTTAGGTTTTTTCTTCTAATGCCTCAATATGATTTTGTTATCAGGGAATGCTGGCCTCATAGCATGAATCAAGCAGACTCTCTTCCTATTCAGTTTTGTGGAACAGTATGTGTAAAATTATTTTCTTCTTTCAGTGTTTGATAGAACCATGAATCTAGATTTTCCTTTGTAAAAACAAAAACTTTCAAAATAAAACCTTTAAGTTCAACTGCTTTAAGAGACGTGAATCTATTCAGTTTACCCATTTCTTGTTGAGTAAACTGTAGTAGTTTGTGTCTTTCAAAGAACTCTTCTCATCTGTGCTGTCAAATTTATTGGCATAAAGTTCATAATAGTAAGTTCCTAAAATGTGAACACTCATAATACTTTTAGTAGGCATTTCAGGCCCCAACTCTGCCACAAATAACGAGAGAGAGAGAGATGGGAAAAGAGAGGAGGGGGAGGAGAGGAAGGAGGGAGGAAGAGCAAGCAAGCAAGGGAGCCATGAAGCCTTTCCAAAGTCAGCCAAAGTGCAAAATTTGAAGGCACAGTCCCCAAGATTTCCCCCACTTCTGACACCAGCTATAGTTCCCAAGCATTCTCATTCTTGATAATTCACTAGAAGGACTTCCAAAAACTACCAGAAGCTGTAATACTCCTGAACACGGTTTCTTATAAGGAAAGGATACAGATTAAAATCGGCCAAAGGAAGAGACACGTCAGGCAGGGCCTGGGAAGGTTCCAAATGCAAAGTTTCTGGTGGTCCCTTCCCATAAACCTGTTCCCCTCGCTGCATGACTTGGGGAAGCTCCACGGAGCTGTGTCTTCCCTGGGGCTTCATTCAGCAGGCACGGTCAGCTGACCGACCCTGTCAGTGATCCGTCCCCAGTCTCCGGGCCCTCTGCCACCCAAGGCCCCTACGGTAAATCACACAGCTGGTTTTTCTGGCATGGCCAAGCCCCTACCCTGAGACAGTGCAAGGTGGGCAGCCCCACCTTTTAGGTAGGACCTGATGTTGTTGAGTTAGCCACAGTCTGTCTTCTCCTAAACTCATGCTGCGGTTTAAGACCCCCGTGACGAGCTCAGCGGTTCTACACTCAACCTGGCAGTGGTACGCAGAGGTGGGGCCTCTGGCAAATGATCAGCATTAGACGAGGTCATCAGGGGGAGTCCCCGCGATGGAATACTGGCACACCCCATGTCTCTTGCCATGTGATACTTGCACTGCGTGGCGGGGGGGGGGGGGGCACTTCTAGTTAGAAGGCCGTGGCCAGGTAAGACCCAACACTGGACCAGAGCCACACATCAAAATAAACCTCTGTGCCAGCTGCGCTGCCTCCAACCCAGCTGCCTGCTAATGCACCCTGGGAGGCAGCCTCAAGTACTCGGGCCCCTGCCGCCCCCATGGGACACCTACATGGAGTTGCTGGCTCCAGGCTTCAGCCTGGCCCAGCCCCAGATGTTGTGGCCATTTGGGGAGTGAACCAGCAGATAGAAGACCTCTGTCTGTCTCTCCCTCTCTGTTGCTCTGCCTTTCAAATAAATAAATATTCTTCAAAAACTATTTTCTTTATAATTTGTAGCATTGTATTAGAAACAGAAAATAGACTACCTCTTCTAGATTACCACCTAGAAGTCAAGGGCAAAGGCCAAACTCTCTTGGGGCAAGGGAATTTTTCTTTTAACTATATATGAGCCTTCGTGATAAACGGACACCGTCACATCACTTTGGGATATTTCACCGAATGGTCACGGAAGGGAAGCCTGTTTAATACAAATGTCCATCTCCTACTGCATCTGTCGAGCGTGACCTCCAGCTACGTGGGAGGTCAGGTGGGTCAGCAGGGTCTTATGATAAAAGCCAAAGTCACACCCAGGGAAGGACATTTAACAACCAACGGTACCGAGTTCCATCGACAACTGCGTCACTTACTTTAAGGGAAATCTTCTATACTGATTGCAGCTGCAAGAATACCAAGTGTTAACTTAGATTTGTGCTTCAAAATGTGCTATGGGAAATGATGAGAAGTCGAGTGCATTTTCATTTAGCATCAAAGACTTTGAGACGGTTATCCTCTTTAGATGCTCTATGCTTGACAAAAGAGGTGCAAATAAGATTTAATTAATTTGCTTTGTCATTATGCTTCCACTTTTTTTCTTTAAATAGGCAAGTGACACAGAGACTGAGACAGCAAATCGATCTTCTATCCTCTGGTTTACTCCCCAAATGGTCACAAACAGCCAGGAGCCCGAGCACTTGGGCCATCTCTGTTACCTTCCCAGGTGCATTAGCAAGGAGCTGCATTGGAAGAAAAGCAGTTGGGACTTGAACTGGCTTTTGGACATGGGATGCCAGTGTTGCAAGGAGCAACTTAACCCACTACACTACAACACCAGCCAACACATTGATATCATCTGGGGCTTGGTGTCTCTTTTTTCTAAGGTAAGTGATTATGTACACAGGGATTTTTTTTATTTTTATTTTTTTATTTTTGACAGGCAGAGTGGACAGTGAGAGAGACAGAGAGAAAGGTCTTCCTTTACCCTTGGTTCACCCTCCAATGGCTGCTGCGGCCGGCGCGCTGCGGCCTGCACACAGCGCTGATCCGAAGCCAGGAGCCAGGTGCTTCTCCTGGTCTCCCATGCAGGTGCAGGGCCTAAGGATTTGGGCCATCCTCCACTGCACTCCTGGGCCATAGCAGAGAGCTGGACTGGAGGAGGGGCAACCGGGACAGAATTCTGTGCCCTGACCGGGACTAGAACCTGGTGTGCCGGCGCCGCAGGCAGAGGATTAGCCTAGTGAGCCGCAGCGCCAGCCACGTACACAAGGATATTAAATAATCATGTTTTCAGTTATGTGGCATGGCTTCTAGTTAAAGGTTTTTGATATCAGAATAAAAGCCCCTGGGCCAGCGCTGTCACACAGAGGGTAAAGCCACCAACTGCAGCACCGGCATCCCATGTGTGTGTCAGTTCAAGACACGGCTGCTCCACTTCCAATCCAGCTCTCTGCTATGGCCTGGGAAAGCAGAAGAAGATGGCCCAAGTCCTCGTTGGACCCCTGCACCTGCATGGGTGACCTGGAAGAAGCTCCTGGCTTCTGGCTTCAGCTCAATGCAATTGGCCATTGTAGCCAACTGGGGAGTGAACCAGCAGATGGGAGACCTCTCTCTCTGCCTCTCCTTTTCTCTCTATAACTCTTTCAAATAAATAAGTCTTAAAAAAAAGAAAAAAAGGCTCTGTTATTTTTATAATACTCGACTGGACACCTAGCACTCTCTTCTGGCATGAATGGGAACAGAAGAGCCGAAAGGATTCCAGAATTCTCTGGATTCATGCTGCTTGGGTTTCTGTGATAGCCAACCAAAGCACTAGGACAATCTGGATTCAAATGGGCTTCTCAGATACTGTCATGGTCATGAGAGAGAGAGAGAACTGAAAAAAAAAAAAAAAGGAGCAACTGTACCTAGACATCCTCTAGAGTAATTTTCCATAGATTCTAGCAAGTGTGGAATCCTCCCTAGAGTTCTAGAATGTAAGCTCTCCAAGGATGGGGTCTCTGTGCACTGCTTGGCACAGAGTGAACACAGCCTAAGTGTTTTACAAACAAATGAACACATGAATAAACCAGTCTGTTCAGCCAGCAGACTTGGGACAATGGAAAAATAAAATGTGAAGACAAGTATGTGGCAAGATGTGCAAGAGGCCTTGTATTTGGCTGATGGGAGAAAGAAATTATTTTTACCTCAAGTAGGAACCTGTCTCGTTGGTCCTTAATAAATTCACGTACTGTCTTTTTTGTGTCTGCACCTATAAAAAAATTGAAATAAACTGGTTTAGTTCAGTATCTTTCAAAGATGTTGAATAAAATAAAGCCTAGTAATTAAATTATTGCACAAAGTATGTATCTGAACTTCAAAAAAAGATACTCTATCTTCCAATAGACTTTTTCCAAACCCCTCAAAAACTAATTTAGGGGTGTACACTTGGCACAGCAGGATAAATGACGACATCCTGTATCCGAGTGTCTGGTTTGAGTCCTGGCTCCTCTGCTTCTGATTCCAGCTTCCTACTAACGTGCATCCTGGGGAGGTAGCAGGTGACATAGCAGGTGACAGCTCAAGTACTTGAGAATCTGCCACCTGCGTGGGAGACCTGGCTTTAGCCTGGCCCAGCCCCAGCTGTTGTGATTTGGGGAGTGAACCAGTGGATGGAAGTTCTCTCTCTTTCAAATAAAATGAAAATCAATAAGTATTTTTAAAATCTTATTAAGGGGCCAGCGCTGTGGCACAGCGGGTTAACCCCGGTCTGCAGTAGCAGCATCCTATGTGGATGTCGGTTCGAGTCCTGGCTGCACCGCTCCTGATCCAGCTCTCTGCTGATGGCCGGGGAAAGCAGCGGAAGATGGCGCAAGTCCTTGGGCCCCTGCACCCACATGGGAGACCCAGATGAAGCTCCTGGCTTTGGCCTGACTCAGCCCCAGCCATTGTGGCCATTTGGGGAGTGAACTAGTGGGTGGTGTCTCTCCTCTCTCTTCCTCTGTAACTCTGCCTTTCAAACAAAATACAACTTTTTAAAAAATTAAACTATGAATTATCTTTTATTTTGTGTCCTCATTTTACTGGACACTTTAAGTATATCAGTTAATCCTGGCAAGAATCCAAAGTACTTTATTACCATCCCAGTCCTGTCTGGGAGCTCCTGAGGCTTGGAGGTGTCAAAGCTCTTGTGTGAGGTCACACAGCTATCAAGTGACAGAGCAGGGGACACTGTTCCTAAGCCAGCACTACACCAGATAAGACTGAATTGCTTTAAACACTAGTGATTGGCCCATCTAGACATAACACTCAAGTCCTCAGGCAACATGTTCCTTACAAGGTTTCCTCATTCTGGAAAATCATGCAGATGCTACCATTCAAGAATGGGAGCTTCATGCAACATCAACAGAATGTGGTCAAGAATAAAGCAGAAGTAGAAATAATGTTTCCCAAATAACCAGCAAGCGCTGCTCTGGGAGGCAGAGGCATGCCATCTGCCTGGGTCGTCTTTGGCCCTCACCACTCACCAGCGGTGCGGCGATGAGTGAACGTCTCATCTTCCCTGAGCCTCCGTTCCCGTAACTGTCAAGCAAGGGCACCAACTGTGGTTTCCAGGCCTGACCATGGACTTGACCCATGGAATGGGAGTGGGCGGATCTATCTCGCTTGCAAGCAGAAGCTTGAAGACTGACCACCCAGTTCTCTTTCTTCCTTTGCTAAAAGCCCAGCAACGTCCCAGACACAAAAGATCCTTCAGCAAAAGAAGCAGCAAGAGGCACCAACGTTGAAAAATGCATAAGAATTAAACCTCTGCTATCGGAAGCTACTGAAATGTAAGAGGGTTTTATTATCCAAGCACAAGTTAGGCTAAGGAGACACATGAGGCAACAGATTAGGCAACACAAATTAACTTTTAAGTAAGGATTAGCTGTCATTATGTAAACAATACAACTGGGATGAGTAACTGATTTTTCAAGGTCAATTATAAGAGAAACAATGATCATTACAGTCATTAACAACTATTAACTGGGAGGTGACAAACCGCAGGTTTTGGAGTCAGGCCCTGGTTTGAATTCTGCAATCATTTAAAGACTTCTGGTGACTAAACTGTTGCAAAGTCATTTTCACCAGATGCGAAAAAGGAGGCAAAACTACTGCACAACACTTTGTTGGGGGTTCAGTAACGCACAGGAAAGCAACCAGTGTTCAGCACACGTTTGTCTTTTCAACTTTCTATCCAGGGAATCTCCAACGTTCATAAAAGCCGAGACTCACACGATGAGCCCCGAGGCCCTGTCGCCTACTACGACATGGCCAGCATTTTATTTCCTGGCACCACCACACTTCAGTTTTGTCCTCACTGGAACATTTTAAAGAAAAGCCAAGCCCCTGGATATGTCATCCTTCACTGTATGCGGCTACCTGATCAAAAAGCTTTGAAACAGAACAGCAGCACCACTCCCACACCTAAAACTAGCAACTCCAGTGTTACAGCTCATAGCTAGCCTGGGTTCAAGTTTTCCCAGATGTCTCAAAAAACACTTTTACTGGAATTTTAACAATTAAAATCTAGACCAAGATCAATTGGGTGGGTGTGCTTCTACAGTCTCCTTTTTATCTGTAACAGCTACCTTCCCACCCCCACATCTTTTTTCTGTTACTCATTTGGTCCAGAAACCTGGTCAATTCCCCACACAATGGAGCTGGTATTTGGCATCCTGAGGGGGTTGTTTAATATGATTCTCACACTTGACTACATTCAGGCTCAACTCACTCAACCCCTTTTTAATAGAAAAAAATGAATGAAGGGGCTTGCTATGGCCTTCATTTAACTCTTACAATGGGCCAAACTGAAAATAAATTTCATATCAAAAAAATATGTACTATTAACTTACTAAGCATGATTTCAGTCTGCTTTAACATAGCACGGTCTGGCTGAATGGATGGAATTTTATCCTTCTACCCTAAGACGACTCATTATGCTTCTTTCCAACCAAGAGATCTTGTCTGATACAGCCCTCCCCAGAGGTGCCTGACCCCAAAGCACCTCCAGCACTCCCTCACTGGGGAGCTAAAGACCAGTCCAAGGGATCTGAGCCTGCAGCACACTCAACTGACACAAATCATTCAGAGGGCAAAGCCAAAGGCCGGCTGCCAGCTGCATGGAGAAGAAAACAGCACTTCTACCACGCAGACCAACTGATCTGCCCGTGACACTTTGTCCATGTAACTTCTCTGATGGTGACTTAGGGGTTTACCGCTCTTGTGTGCGTGTGCACATACACACACACACACACACACACACCCTAGGCTCCCAGAGTGGACCCACTGGCTTATTTTACTGTCATGTAGGTTTGCTTTCAGTCACAATCAGGCAGAGAATGGAAGGCAGAGGAACAGAGAGGTTCACTCATTTACTCAAACCAGTTCTTGATTGGAAGGCAACTTCCTCGTGAAAAGTCAAATGTCCCATGGCTCTCTAAGCAACCAGCAGAAGCCGTGCACCTGGCTGCCAGTGGTGACACAGCCAGCTTGATCTGTGTAATGTCAAACGACTTTACTATCTCTAGAGTCTATCCCACATTTATGTGTAGTGGACCAGTAAGCTCTCCAGCAGGTGGCAATGGCGCAGCCCTGGGTCATCTGCAAAGCCAAACTTCCTTGTTATCTCAGAACCACTGGAATGGCAAGGGTTTTACAAGTCAGCCACTTCAGGGCCAGCGCTGTAGCGCAGTGGGTTAAAGCCCCGATTTGCAGTGCTGACATCCCATGTGAGTGCCGGTTCAAGTCCCGGCTGCTCCACTTCTGATCCAGCTCCCTGCTAATGTACCTAGGAAAGCAGCAGAGGATGGCCCAAGTGCTTGGGCCCCTGCACCCATGTGGGAGACCTGAAAGAAGCTCCTGGCCTCAGACTGGCTCAGCTCCAGCTGTTACGGCCATTTGGGGATTGAACCAGTGGATGCAAGACCTCTCTCTCTATATATTTCTCCCTGTATATATTTCTCCCTGTAACTTTGTCTTTCAAATAAATAAAATACAAAAAAGGCAGCCACTTCATGCAGAATTCTTTGTTGAATCTATAGAATTTTTGAGTGCATTTATTTTTATTTATTTGAAAGGCACAGCAATAGAAAGAGAGAGAGAGAGAGATCTTCTACCCACTGATTCATTCCCCAAATGCTTGCAACAGCTGGGGCTAAGCCCCACCAGCCAGGAGCCAGGAATTCCATCTAGGTTTGTCACATGGGTGACAGAGACCTAAGTACTTGAACCACCATCTGCTGCTTCATTAGCAGAAGCCGGGTCAGAAGTGGAGGCAGAACTCGATCCCTGGCATTGAGATGCAATGCAGGCATCCCCAGTGGCAGCTCAGCCCACTGTACAGCAACGCTCACTCCCGTACGCAATTGTAAATGCTCTGGAAGACCTAGGGTTCATCCTACAGAGCTGAACTGTGAGACACAAGACTGAACTGAGATTTATCCTAGAACTTGTAGAGCAGCCTCTTCCTCCACCTTGACGCCTATCATTCACTGCTGTTTTGTACAGTTACAATGTTTATATGTATTTATAGAGTCTTCAATAAGCCAGCATGGCCCTCTTCTTCTACATTAAAGTTGCTGAACCCGAAGTCCTTTCCCAACTGTTTTGTTGTTGTTGTTGCTGTTCTCTGAAGATTTTTTTTTTCATCATTTGAGAAAATACCTGAGCTTTTGGGAAGCCAGAGACTTTTTGAGCTACCACAGAAAATTCTGGGTACTTGGTACATGGCCTTCCTTCCTTTAAAATTTTTGGTTAAAAATTTGGAAATGATTCTGAGAAAAGATTGTAATGACTTCATCATTCTAGCATTAATCACTTCTGCTTCATGAGCTTCAAACCACTTGCTATCTCTTTTATAGGCACTTCTTGATCTGAGAAGTAGTAAACACCCACTTGTGATGGCCAAATCGCCCTCCTTTATGGAGCAGTAACTGTTGTCTTGTGATACTTTAACAAGGGGCCATCAAAGGTCCCTAAAGCCAGGGTACAACAACAGCGGGCAAGCTCATTCCATTCTTAGCTTCCTGATTCTAGACACATGGGTTCTACAGCATTGATAATCAAAATCCCTCCACCCTTCAACAGTTTCTACAGTTCTTCATCTACAGCTGAGTATGAAATGGCAGTCATTGCCTTGATATTATATCTGCTTTCCCAATGTTAACAGATTTTTAAAATATTTATTTTAAATATCAAAGACATTCTTCTCATATCTGGAAAAAATGATGCTGAAATTCATATGGAGGCACAGGAGACCTCGAATAGTTAAAGCAATCTTGTACAACAAAAACAAAGCCAGAGGCATCACAATACCAGATTGCAGGATATACTACAGGGCAGTTGTTATCCAAACAGCATGGTACTGGTAGAGAAACAGCTGGATAGACCAATGGAACAGACTAGAAACACCAGAAATCAACCCAAACATCTACAGCCAACTTATCTTTGATCAAGGATCCAAAACGAATTCCTGGAGCAAGGACAGTCTATTCAATAAATGGTTCTGGGAAAACTGGATTTCCACGTGCAGAAGCATGAAGCAAGACCCCTACCTTACACCTTACACAAAAATCCACTCAACATGGATTAAAGATCTAAATCTACAACCCAACACCATCAAATTATTAGAGAACATTGGAGAAACCCTGCAAGATATTGGCACCGGCAAAGATTTCTTGGAAAAGACCCCAGAGGCACAGGCAGTCAAAGCCAAAATTAACAATTGGGATTGCATCAAATTGAGAAGTTTCTGTATGGCAAAAGAAACACTCAGGAAAGTCAAGAAGCAACCGACAGAATGGGAAAAAATATTTGCAAACTATGCAACAGAAAAAGGGTTAATAACCAGAATCTACAAAGAGATCAAGAAACTCCAAAAGAACAAAACAACCCACTTAAGAGATGGGCCAAGGACCTCAATAGACATTTTTCAAAAGAGGAAATCCAAATGGCCAACAGGCACATGAAAAAATGTTCAGAATCACTAGCAATCAGGGAAATGCAAATCAAAACCACAATGAGGTTTCACCTCACCCTGGTTAGAATAGCTCACATACAGAAATCTACCAACAAGGCCGGCGCCGCGGCTCACTAGGCTAATCCTCCGCCTAGCGGCGCCGGCACACCGGGTTCTAGTCCCGGTCGGGGCGCCGGATTCTGTCCCGGTTGCCCTTCTTCCAGGCCAGCCCTCTGCTGTGGCCAGGGAGTGCAGGGGAGGATGGCCCAGGTGCTTGGGCCCTGCACCCCATGGGAGACCAGGAAAAGCACCTGGCTCCTGGCTCCTGCCATCGGATCAGCGTGGTGCGCCGGCCGCAGCGCGCCGGCCGCGGCGGCCATTGGAGGGTGAACCAACGGCAAAAGGAAGACCTTTCTCTCTGTCTCTCTCTCTCACTGTCCACTCTGCCTGTCAAAAAAAAAAAAAAAAAGAAAAAAAAAAAAGAAATCTACCAACAACAAATGCTGCCGAGGATGCGGGGAAAAAGGGACACTAATCCACTGTTGGTGGGAATGCAAACTGGTAAAGCCACTATGGAAGTCAGTCTGGAGATTCCTCAGAAACCTGAACATAACCCTACCATACAACCCAGCCATCCCACTCCTTGGAATTTACCCAAAGGAAATTAAATTGGTAAATAAAAAAGCTGTCTGCACCTTAATGTTTATTACAGCTCAATTCACAATAGCTAAGACCTGGAACCAACCTAAATGCCCATCAACAGTAGACTGGATAAAGAAATTATGGAGGCTGGCGCTGCGGCTAATAGGTTAATCCTCTGCCTGCGGCGCCAGCACACAGGGTTCTAGTCCTGGTCGGGGTGCTGGATTCTGTGCTGGTTGCCCCTCTTCCAGTCCAGCTCTCTGCTGTGGTCTGGGAGTGCAGTGGAGGATGGCCCAATTCCTTGGACCCTACACCCGCATGGGAGACCAGGAGAAGCACCTGGCTCCTGCCATCGGATCAGTGCGGTGTGCCGGCCGCAGCACGCCGGCCGCAGCGGCCATTGGAGAGTGAACCAACGGTAAAGGAAGACCTTTCTCTCTCTCTCTCACTGTCCACTCTGCCTGTCAAAAAGTTAAAAAAAAAAAGAAATGATAGGATATGTATTCTATAGAATATTATACAGCAGTAAAAAACAGTGAAATCTGGTCATTTGCAACAAAATGCAGGAAACTGGAAAACATCATGCTGAGCGAAATAAGCCAGTCCCAAAAGGACAAATTATCATATGTTCTCCCTGATCGCTGACAACTACCAAGCACCAAAAAGGAAACCCGTTGAAGTGAAATGGACACTACGAGAAACTGACTTGATTGGCTTTTTTTTTTTTTTTTTTTTTGACAGGCAGAGTGGAGAGTGAGAGAGAGACAGAGAGAAAGGTCTTCCTTTTGCCGTTGGTTCACCCTCCAATGGCCACTGTGGCCAGCACGCTGTGGCTGGCGTATCGCGCTGATCTGAAGGCAGGAGCCAGGTGCTTTTCCTTGTCTCCCATGCGGGTGCAGGGCCCAAGCACTTGGGCCATCCTCCACTGCACTCCCGGGCCATAGCAGAGAGCTGGCCTGGAAGAGGGGCAACCAGCACAGAATCCAGCACCCCGACCGGGACTAGAACCCGGTGTGCCGGTGCCGCAAGGCGGAGGATTAGCCTAGTGAGCCACGGCGCCGGCCTTGATTGGCTCTTGTCCTGCCTGTTGATGAACAACTTAATACTTCATCCCTTATAGTTTTTTTTTTGTTGTTCTACTTAATACTATTGGTTGAACTCTGTAATTAACACACAATTATTCTTAGGTGTTTAAATTTAACTGAAAAGTGATCCCTGTTAAATATAAGAGTGGGAATAAGAGAGGGAAGAGATGTACAATTTGGGACATGTTCAAGCTGACTTGCCCCAAATGGTAGAGTTGGAAACATGCCAGAGGATTCCAATTCAATCCCATCAAGGTGGCATGTACCAATGCCATCTCTCTAGTCCCAGTGATCAATTTAAGTTCATAACTGATCATAATGATAGGATTAAGAGTCAAAGGGATCACACAAACAAGACTAGTGTCTGCTAATACTAACTGAAAGAATAAAAAAGGGAGAGAATGATCCAACATGGGAAGTGGGATACACAGCAGACCCATAGAATGGCAGATGTCGTAAATAGCACTCTGGCCTCAGAATCAGCCCTTAAGGCATTCAGATCTGGCTGAAGAGCCCATGAGAGTATTTTAGGCATGGAAAGTCAAGACACTCTGGCGAAAAAAAAAAAAAGATCTAAATGAAAGATCTCTGTGAGTGAGATCCCAGCGGAAAGAATGGGCCATCAAAGAAGGAGGTACCTTTCTCTGAAGGGAGGAGAGGACTTCCACTTTGACTATGACCTTGTCTAAATAAGAGCAGAGTTGGGGAACTCAAAAGGCTTCCATAGCCTTGGCAACTCATGACAAGAGCCTAGGGTGATTACTGACGCCATAAACAAGTGTCAATTTGTTAAGTCAACAACAGGAGTCACTGTGCACTTACTCCTCATGGAGGATCTCTGTCCTTAATGTGTTGTACAATGTGAATAATGCTATAACTAGAACTCAAACAGTATTTTACACTTTGTGTTTCTGTGTGGGTGCAAACTGTAGAAATCTTCACTTAAGATATTCTAAATTGTTCTTCGGTATATAAAGATGACTGAAAATGAATCTTGATGTGAATGGGATGGGAGAGGGAGTGGGAGATGAAAGGGTTGCAGTTGAGAGGGAAGTTATGGTGGGGGAGCCACTGTATTCCAAAAGCTGTACTTTGGAAATTTATATTTATTAAATAAAAGTTAAAAAAAAAAAACCACAGAATTCAATGAGCAAAAAAAATATTTATTTGAAAGGCAGAGAGAGACATACAAGTGCACACACACTCAGAGAGAGAGAGAGAGAGAGAGACAGAGACAAAGATATCCTCCATCCACTGGTTCACTCCCCAAATAGCCACAACATCCCAGGCTGGGCCAGGCCAAAGCCAGGAGCCTGAACTCCATCCAAGCCTCTCACAGGCATGGCAGGGGCCCAGGGACTTGGGCCATCCTCTGTTGCTTTCCCAGGCCATAGCAGGGAGATGGATTGGAAGCAAGAGGAGCCAGAGCTCCGATACAGGATGCCGGTGTCACAAACAGGCTTTAACTCACTCTGCTGGGACACCAGTCTTTCTCTGCCGACTTTAATACTGCAGTACTCAGCAGTGACCTTCTTCCTGCCAGCTGTGCACACCAGTCACAGTCTTTTGGGGAGAGTATGTTCTCTTATTCAAGACGGACTTCCTCCTAACTCTCAAACCCCATCTGCACAGGCCTCCCTCACCTCTCTGAGACAGCACACACTTCTTGTTTTTCCCACACCCAGACAATCTCTCGATTTTGCTGTTAGTAAATATTCCAAACAATGTGCTTCAACAAAGTGTTATTTTGACTCACCTTCTGCCAATCTGAGAATCAGGGTGGGATCCAGCCCAAAATTTTCAAATGAGCTCCCACTTCTGTCTGAGTAAAAACCTAGCTGGCCCAGGTGTGAACGACTCTTCATTCGGGAGGAAAAAGTAGACTTCTGGTGGATTTTCATGTTCCGGCTCATAAGTTTTTCCTGCCCAAGTGGAAACATTTTAAAAGCTGTATTTTTTAAATTTTCTTAAACACTCACCCTATGCACCAAACTCTATGTGAATGCCTCTTTTTTTCCCCTAAGACAGGGATGGAGAATCTTTTTTCTTTAAGATTTATTTGTTTATTTGAAAGTCAGAGCTGCACAGAGAGGGAGAGACAGAAATTTTCCATCCACTGGTCACTCCCCAAATGGCAGCAATTGGCTGGAGCTGGGCTGATCTGAAGCCAGGAGCTTCTTCTGGGTCTCTCATGTGGGTGCAGGGTCCTAAACACTTGGGCCATCTTCCACTATTTTCCCAAGTGCATTAGCAGGGAGCTGGATCAGGAGTGGAGCAGCTGGGATTCAAACCAGTGCCCATAAGTGATACTGGCACCTGCAGCAGCTTTACCGGCTATACCATGGTGCTGGCCCCAAAGGATTTTTAATATAACCAAGGAATATTATCTTAAAATAATGACCATTTAGGGCTTCTGCTATGGCACAATGGGTTAAGCCACCATCTGCAGTGTTGGCTCCCATATGGGTGCTGGTTTGAGTCCCGGCTACTCCACTTCTGATCCAGTTCCCTGCTGATAGCCTGGGAAAGTAGGAGAAGATGGCCCAAGTGCTTGGGCCTCTGCACTCACATGGGAGATCAGAAGGAAGCTCCAGGCTCCTGGCTTTAGCCTGGCCCAGCCCCAGCCATTGTGGCCATTTGGGGAGTGAACCTGAAACTGGACGATTTCTCTGTCTCTCCATCTCTCTCTCTCCCTCTCTGTAACTCTTGCTTTTCAAATAAATAAGTAAATCTTTATTTTTTTTGAAGAAAGTGACCATTTATAAAATTATCATATGCAACAAAAGGTATAAACAGAGCTATCCCAAGTTCTTTTAAGAATTATATATGGTTTTCCTTTTCTTGCTTTAAGAAGTTGAAAAGGCTGGCGCCACAGCTTAATAGGCTAATCCTCTGCCTGTGGCACCAGCACCCCGAGTTCTAGTCCTGGTCGGGGTGCCGGATTCTATTCCAGTTGCTCCTCTTCCAGGCCAGCTCTCTGCTGTGGCCCAGGAGTGCAGTGGAGGATGGCCCAAGTCCTTGGGCCTTGCACCGCATGGGAGACCAGGAGAAGCACCTGGCTCCTGGCTTCGGATCAGCGCGGTGCGCCAGCCACAGAGGCCATTGTGGGGTGAACCAATGGAAAAGGAAGACCTTTCTCTCTCTGTCTCTCTCTCACTGTCCACTCTGTCTAAAAAAAAAAAAAAAAAAGTTGAACAAAGGGGCCAGCACTGTGGTACAGTGGGTAAAGCTTCTACCTGTAGTTCCAGCATCCTATATGGATGCCAGTTTGAGTCCCGGCTGTTCCACTTCCAATACAGCTCCCTGTTAATTGTTCTGGAAAAGCAGCAGAAGATGGCCCAAATCCTTTGGGCCCCTGCACCCATGAGGTAGACCCAGAAGAAGCTTCTGGCTCTTGGTTTTGGCCTGGCCCAGCTCTGGCTATTGCAGCCATTTGGGGAGTGAACCAGCAGATGTAAGACTTCTCTCTCTCTCTCTCTCTCTCTCTCTCTCTCTCTCTGCCTCTACCTCTCTGTAACTCTTTCAAATAAATACATAAGTTAAAAAAATTTGAGCACAAATATAACCCACTTAATCCATTTTTTAAAAAAAAAATTTATTTTAAAGTCAGAGTTACAAGGACAAAGGGGAAGGGGACAGAGAGTCTTCTAAGATGTGAACTGGGAAATGCAAGGTGCAACATACAAGTGGTGAGATGAACTTTGCAAGGCACAGTGGGAAGCTGGCCCCATTGCTGATTTAGCTTCATTTGAATCATTCTATTTGTTAAAATATGTATGTATGTATGTATGAATGTATTTGAAGGGCAGAGTGTTGGAGAGAGGAATCCTTCCACATGCTGGTTCACTCCCCAAATGGCCACAAGAACCAGGGCTGGGCCAGGATGAAGCTAGGACCCCAGAAATCCATCCAGGTCTCCCATGAAGGTGGCAGGGACTCAAGTACTTGAGCCATCATCTGCTGCCTCCCTGGCACATTCGCAGGGAGATGGATTGGAAGTGGAACTCAAACTGGCATTCCGATATGGGATACCAGTAATGCAAGCAGCAGCTTATCCCGCTGAGCCACCACACCGGCCCCATTCCCTATCATCCTGAAAGGACACCCTTCCTCTACTTTTATCCTGTCATCTTTCTCCTGTTCTCCTCCCCAACACACACATGTACATCATCGTGTTCACATCTGCTGGCAAATTCTAACTGCTTTCTGTTAGGTTAGAGGGATGTTATAATAACTATGTTATACTATATATTTTATGTTTTTTATTGATTCACTTGAAAGGCAGAGAGAGACAGACAGACAGACAAAAGCATACAGAGAGAAATAGAGAGAGAGAGAGATCTTCAATCTGGTGGTTCACTCCCCAAACACTCCCAACATCAGGGGCTGGATCTGCCTGAAGCCAGGAGCCAGGAACTCGATCTAGGCTGGCAGGGGCCCAAGTGCTTCAGCAATGAACTGCTGCCTCCAAGGGTACCCCTGAGCAGGAAACTAAACCAGAAGTGGAGGTGGGACTTGAACCTGGCCCTCTGATACAAGACATGGACATCTCAACTGCTGTGCCAAATGCCCACACTAATTTTTTCCTCGAGACTTGTTCCTGTCATCTCAGTGAAGTCTTTTTTTTTAAATTTTTGACAGGCAGAGTGGGCAGTGAGAGAGAGAGACTGAGAGAAAGGTCTTCCTTTGCTGTTGGTTCACCCTCCAATGGCCACGGTGGCCGGCGCACTGCGCCTATACAAAGGCAGGAGCTAGGTGCTTCTCCTGGTCTCCCATGGGGTGCAGGGCCCAAGCACTTAGGCCATCCTCCACTGCACTCCCGGGCCACAGCAGAGAGCTGGCCTGGAAGAGGGGCAACCGGGACAGAATCTGGCGCCCCAACCGGGACTAGAACCTGGTGTGCTGGCGCCCCAAGGCGAAGGATTAGCCTAGTGAGCCGCGGCACCGGCCGTCAGTGAAGTCTTAACACACACCACCACCTTGCCACCTCCTTCCCCCTCCTCTCACCACCAAACGCGGGTACACCTTCCTCTATAACTTCCGTGCATGCCTCTACAATATGCTATCAACTCTAGGATGTCACTTATTGTAAGATGTACTACTGTGGACAGCCAATGACGTACGTTGCACCACCTGTGTAAGCTAGATCTCGAGTTCAGAAATGGAAAAATGTGGATGTCAGAGCAGTGCAGTAGTGCTTACTTCCTGGTCATACTGCGTTACAATGGTGCATGCGTCTCGCTCCATTAGGTGGCGATCTTAGCAGGTCTGGATGCTATTCTTTCATTGAGGGTCACATGGTCTCCCTATCACATGGGGAGGGGGACATACAATGCAAGCGTCTACGTCTACGTACAAAGAATGTCGACATCTGACTCCATGCTTTAACCCAGCAAAGTTCTTAAATGCAATGGATAACAAGATACGAAACTAACAATAACTGTGACTGGGATTTTGAACAAAACCTTACCCTTTTCCTTGCTGCCATTTCATTTTCTTTGAAAAAAAAGATGTCTTTGAAAAAGACCTTGTAAGGCCTGTCCTTTTTGATTGTGTCATCGTTTATGTTATCTGTGAAAAAAACAAAGACAGGCAGACCTCCATCATTCCTCTGCTAGCCCGAGCACCATGGCTCTTGCCAGCCAGGGCAAAGTGAGAGGGCTCTCCCAGGGTCTCTGAAGGTGGGGTTCAGGCAGCCTCATCTCCCCAGCTACAGGCCAAGACACATGGCCTGGATCTCCCAGGCAGGAGCATTGCTCCTCCTTCTGTGTGCCATGGCCCTGGGCCCAGCACTTGATGCCTCGTGGTGGCCAAGTCCACCACATGAGGAGCTCCTGAGAACAGCGGACTGTATTTTGCGATGCTAAGATGTGGTTTCTCCCCACCATCGCACACATCCCCGCCATCACCCTCAGTCCCTCTTTTCAGTCTAACAGACACAGTTACCGCCCTGAACAAGAGCCTCAGCCCAGACTAGCACCTTACAAATGAATTCAAAACTACTCAAGAGGACATGGAGAAACCAGACCCTCATTCACTGTTGGCAGGAACGTCCATGGATCAGCCACTCTGAGCAGCACTCTGGCACCGACTCCAAGCAGCGCAGGGCCGCGGCAGGACGCAGACTTCTCAGCAGGTGGGTTGTGTAGCACTCTCTTCTACCTCCTCAATCCTGCATGAAGCCCAACCACGCGAAGCACAAAGCAGAAACTTGAGGTTTCTTTTTACCTTCAGGATTCAGCGATGTCGGCAAAAAGTCTGACGTCATTTTGTCTCCTGGCCCTGTCCGAAGAAAAGGAAACACACTTTAAAAAAAAATTCTACAGACACTGCACCAGGAGGCTACATTCAATCACCAGTGAGTCTCCCCAATGGCCTCGCTGGTGTTTCCAAGCAGTGCCCACACAAACGCTTTGCCTCAGCAATTCCACTTCTAGGAACTTATCCCAAGAAAATCATCAGCCAAGCGGCCAAACAGTACATATGGTCCAGTTGGTCCAGTGTCACTTAATACAACAGAGACTCGACAAGGAACTATGGTACGCCTCTGCAACGCATTGCTATGTGGCCCCTTGAAATACTGCTGTAGGCAGGGGTTGGAGAGTCAGGGCCTAGTGGTTAAGACGCCCGCCCCCCACACTGCAGTACCTGGGGCCAACTCCCAGCTCTGGCTCCTGACTGCAGCTTCCTGCCAGTGCACACCTTAGGAGGCAGTGGTGGTGGCTAACGCAGCGGGGCCCCTGCCACCCACAGAGGAGATCTGGATTGCATTCTTAGCTCCCAGCTTCAGCCCTGGCCCTACTGTGCCTTGGGTACTTGGGGAACAAACCAGCAGATGGGAGCTGTCTCTGCCCCCCTCTCTCCCTGTCTTGCTCCCTCTGCCTCTCCAGTGGAAGAGAAAGAGAAAGTGTGTGAGCGCACACGCTAAATGTCCTGGAAGCATAGCAGCAGGTGACCAAGAACACAGATTTGGCGTAGACAAAGCCTGATTTTTAATCTTGGTTCGTCATTTATAAATGTGTGAACAAATCCATTTCAATATTCAAAAATATTTATCGAGTACCTACTATATGGCAGGCTATGGTATGTTCCGGGTGTGGGAGACAGGGCAAGCTGTAAGAAGACACACACAAACCTTTGTCACGGGGCCTCCTTTTTAATTTCTTAGCGGCTCTGAGGCTCCAGTTCCTATTGCAGTTTCACCCCTTCAGGCATTCTTTTTTTTTTTTTTTTTTTTTTTTTTTTTTTTTTTTGACAGGCAGAGTTAGACAGTGAGTGAAGAGAGACAGAGAGAAAGGTCTTCCTTCCGTTGGTTCACCCCCCAAATAGTCACCACGGCTGGCACGCTATGACTGATCCGAAACCAGGAGCCAGGTGCTTCTCCTGGTCTCCCATGTGGGTGCAGGGCCCAAGCACTTGGGCCATCCTCCACTGCATTCCTGGGCCACAGCAGGGAGCTGGACAGGAAGAGGAGCAACCGGGACAGAATCTGGCACCCCAACTGGGACTAGAACCTGGGGTGCCGGCGCCATAGGTGGAGGATTAGCCAAGCGAGCCATGGCACCGGCCTCCCTTCAGGCATTCTTGAGCCAACAAGGCAATGGATTTAAGCAACGCATCAGGGTGCCTGGTAAACAGACCAGCTCAGAGAGTGAGAGCTGCTGGGTGCTCATAATTACTAACGAACCTAATAGGACGTCCTTAGTAAAAACCACTGGACCAAAAGAGAACAAGCCGGTAGGCACCCACAGCACTGACACACTATGTTTTCAAGCTAGCGCGGTTGCTTTCACAGGACTTTTTGTCCATTCTGATGGGTGGAAAGGAATAGTCAGTACACTAAGTACTGGGAACAGCTAACACCAGAGAGTCATGGATGCTTAAAAATGTACACTCTGGAGATGGCGGCTGCAGCAGCAAACACGCTTCCCTGCAGTGGGCGGTAGCGGTCCTGGAACGTGTCGGCAAGCTGGCAGGCTTTCAAGCAGTTTGTGGATATCTTTTCTGGGAATTTTGCTGGGATTCCACTGGAAGCATAGATCAAGTTAGAAAAAACTGTCATATTAACAATGTCGGGGAGAGGCAAGATGGCGGAACAGTGACAGGGAGGTCGTCTCTAAGCTCTGCAAGGCTGGAAAAGTGGAGAAGTTGCACTCTCAGGGAAACGTTTACAGGGGAAACTGCAGCAAACGATCTTGCGAAAGCAGCCTGGATATGCAGTGAGTACGGACCATGGAGCAGGAACACAGCAACAAAAGAGCCAGTAGCCCAGGATCACAAGGTGAGGTTAGACTGTACCAGCCCATGCTACTGTTCATACGGCTGGACGGAGAGCTAGTAGATGACACCGGTGTTTGGGTCCAGCCTGGAACCCTCAGGGGAGCTGAGTGACTGCTTACCCAGAGTGGGGGAAGGAGGCAGCACGCCCCTCCCTTCCCTACTTCTCCCTCTGAGCCAGCGCCCTGCAGCTAACTAGCTGGGAGAAAGCTGGCGCCATTTCAGACATAAACAGGAGCAGGCCCATCTTCTCCCGGTGTACCCAGCAGCTAGCGAGGGCTCTTGGTAGGGGTGACCACAGTAGTTCAAATTAAGGGGGACGGGGGCTGCGGCTGCACCCACCCTACAACGGGCCGGGAAGGGGAGCCGTCCCTTCTTACAGCAAGTGCCACCTGCAGAGACTCTAGTACCCATCCGGCACAATTCTGAAAGCAGTAGGGCTGGCGGGAATTGTGCCTGCTTGCAACCCAAGGATTCTATGGGGGAAAAAAAATCTCGCTCACCCCTCCCCACGCTGACCACACCAACCCTGGGATTCCTAAAGAGCTCCGGGCCAGCCACACCCCCGACCCTTCCCCGGAGGTGGCCAACCCCCCCAAGTCTCCACAGAAGCCAACAGACTCCCAAAGAGTTCCCCTCGGACTTTGGTTCTGGAAAGGGGCTCAGACTCAATCGACGTCGGGTGGAACACACATAGATAGTGGCTCTGGGAATCCCTTGGCCTCTCTGTGGACAGGATAGCCTGGTGGGCGGAGTGGATGCTCTTGCGTTCCTTATTTGTGGGAGCCCTAGATGCTGAGCCTGTGCAAACACTGTGACTGTGTGAGAGGCAGCAGGGTGTAGCTGGGGTTCTGGGCAAGCTCTGGGTGCAGAGCCACACTCTTGGAACTGCTTGGTCACGGTGGAGGGGGAGGGTGGTGCTCACTGCAGCTTGAACCTTGCGTGCAAGGGGCTCTGTGCAGATCACTCATGCAGATCATGTTGAACACATTGGGGACTAATATCCAGGCATTCATTGCTCAGCTTAAAGGAGAGGAAGGGAGGGAGCAGATGTGACCACCTCTCCCCTCCCCGCCAAATTCTGAGAATAAGAAGAGAGCTACCACCCCCAACTCGGGTGATACCCTGGATACTCCCTCCACCCCAGAGCACTGAGCAGAGCTCCCTGACCACACCCAGCACTTGCTTCTGCTATTCACTGAAAGAGCCAACACTCCAATGAGCCACGGAGGCACAGTACAAAGATAAAAGCCATCATGGGGGGGAAAAAGCCAAAAAACCAACAACTGCCTCCACAAACACCAAGAACTAAACACAGCAATCCAAAAAGCAAAAATAAAGAAGTCAAATGATGCCTCCAAAGGAACATAACACTTCAATACTAGAATGCAAAGATGACAATATCGATGAAATGTCAGAAACAGAACTGAAAAGATGAATCATAGGAACACCCAGAGGCAAATCTATGAACTAAAGAAAACCATACGTGACATGAATGAAAATTTATCCCATGAAATTAAGATTTTAAAGAGAAACCAAAATGGAATATTAGAAATGAAAAACTCAATACATCAAATAAAAAATACAGTCAAAAGCCTAAACAGCAGACTTGGCAAGGCAGAAGAAAGGATATCTGAACTAGAATATAAATGCTTGGAAATCCAATGGTCAGACCAAAAACAAGGAGAAATTAGAAAAATAAAAAAAAATACTGTTGGGAATCTACAGGATACTATCAAATGACCCAACATATGGGTCCTAGGAGTACTTGAAAGCATGGAAAGACATAAAGGATTAGAAAGCCTTCTTAGTTAAATAACAGAAAACTTCCCTAATTTGGAGTAAGAAAGGGACATCCAAGTACAGGAAGCACATAGAACTCCTAACAGACATGACCAGAAAAGATCTTCACCACAATGCATTGTAGTCAAACTCTCTACCATAGAACATAAAGAGAATATTCTAAAATGTGCACAGGAGAAATGCCAGATTACTTTCAGAGGATCTCCAATTGAACTCAGAGTTGACTTCTCATTAGAAACCCTATAGGCTAGCCTAGCAGAGAATGACGAAATACACTTCAAATCTTAAGAGAAAAAAAACTGTCAATCCAGAATACTGTACCCTGCAAAGTTCTCATTTATGAATGAAGGTGAAATAAAAATCTTCCATGACAAAAAAAAATTTAAAGAATTTACCACTCATCCAGCCTTACCAAAAATACTTAAGGATGTGCTACACACAAAAGCACAGAAACAGGGTGACCACTATTAAAGAAGGTGATGGCAGAAAATCTCTTATTAAAAATATAAATCAAACTCAAAGTAAAAAAATAGGAATATTAATGGAAAAATGCCAGGGAAAAGTCATTACTTATCTATAGTCACCTTGAATGTAAATAGCCTCAACTATCCAGTTAAAAGACACAGAATGGATGAATGGATTAAAAAATAAAATGCATCTATCTGCTGCCTACAAGAAACACATCTCACCAATGACTGAATGTGAAAGGATGGAAAAAGATATTCCATGCTAACAAAAAAACAAAAAGAGCTGGTGTAGCCATCTTAATATCAGACAAAATAGACTTTAACACAAAAACTGTTAAAAGAGACAAAGAAGGGCACTATGTGATGATTAAGAGAACAATTCAGCAGGAATATGTGACTATTATAAATGTATATGCACCTAATTACAGGGGATCCGGCTATTTAAAAGAAATGTTAATGGATTTAAAAGGAGACATAGACTCAAACAATAATGGAGGACTACAATACCCCACTTTCAGCAATAGGCAGATGAACCAGACAGAAAATCAGCAAGGAAACAGAGTTAATCAACAATATAGACCAAATGGACTTAACAGATATCTACAGAGCTTTCCATCCCACAGCCACAGAATATACTTTCTTCTCAGCAGTGCATGGAACTTTCTCTAGGAGTGACCACATGCTAGGTCATAAATCAAGTCTCAGCAAATTAAAAAAAAATTCAAAATCATACCA